TCGATCGGCATGACTCAAAGACGTTTCTCTACCTTTTCCGACCTTGTAACTACAAACATTAGAGCAACTTAACAGGCGAACGGATGCCGACCCTCGCATCAGTGCCTCAGTTCGCTAACCTGACTGCGCACCTGTATTTGAATTCCCAGGCATCTTGAGTTAGTCGCAACAAAGTCAGGCAAAGACCTTGAACGAGATTTAGATTGGAAAGCCAGGTTGACTAGTTACGTCTGCTAATTTTTGATTACCCAGAATTATTCCCCGCAACCGCCGACCTTCTTTCCGCCAAGCTTTCTATCTCCTAGGTCTTCCTCCCTGTGCATCCCAACTCTCGTGGAAGTGACGCGTATGCAACACAATGGTGTTTCAAACAGTAGAAGGGACACAATCATGATATGGCGGTAGATTTTTCGCTTCCCTTCCTCATCCTCCCTTCCTCTCTCCACTGCCCTCCAGCTGCCACTGCAGCACCATGTGGAATGAACGGAAGTGTGCTAAGCAGGTGTTTATATAGCCCTAAGAGTGTTATCACAACTATCCTGCTACAAAACATTGATATCTCAAATCCTGTAAGCTACCCGATTTGTTAGCGGTTTGTTTATCCCATGAGCTTCCTTCTCACTCACTTCATTTTGCGGACGGACACACATACATACACACACACACACACACACACTCACACACACACATACAGATACACAAACCGACACACAAAGTTAGCGCTTTATATATATAGTAGGATACTTCCCATACATTTCTAATAATTTATACTAGATAAGAAGGGAGATATTTATTATGCTGGTTGATTCCTTTCAAGACACGCCACACATCCTACCTTGATGTTCCAATAAATATTGCGGCTAGATCAAAAATGTTGAACTTTTACTTTTACGCTAATTATGCAGTTTTTTTGCGCATCATCTGATGTGTAAATTGTACTTGTTCGTTGAGATAAGGCTCTACCAAAAGAGGTTATTCACAACTTGCTGCTTTACGAGTTCGAATTCGACCACGACGCTGAAACGGCCGTTCGAAAGGTCAGCTCTAAAAGGTTAGCAACTTGTGTCGATAGTGACGTCGTTCCGATGGTTTACCGGATTCCGGAATGATAACATCAACTTGGACCACCAGCCTCGATAAACATTCACGGGAAATCAACAGAGACGCAAATATTGAAACGATTGATCCGTTATTGACAACACAGGATTTCGTCCTGCAAATTGGTTGGTTCTGATAGCGCACACTTTGATTGATGTTGTTATGTACAGGGTGGGCCAAAATTATGGCAACTACTAGTGGAGATGAAACTCCCTTTTTTCCGAATCTTTTCATTCTCCTCTTCTTTTTTAGTCCTATTATGATAGAGGACATTGTCCTGAAACCCAATATCATCCAAAATTGATGAAACGACCATATCACGGTATGCCAATACTGAAATTAGACTGACAAGGAACACTAGCACGCTACATCTAGCGACAGTTCAATTTAATAAAGAAGCTCATACGGAAAACGCTTGCAACGCTTCAATAAGTTAGGAACCACCCACGATGAAAAAGAAGGAGATTCGAAGGTTACAGTGACCACCAGGACAATTATCAAATACAGGAACGTCCACCTTTCGCCACTTGCACACCGCCAAACTGAAAAACTGATGTAAAAGGCCATTTACAACGCTTAAGATCCAACGTCTGTCGTGAACGAAGAGCCACTTGAGTATGTTACTGTGGGCGTTTTATTAGGTCGTGAAGAAAGTTCTTGCGCTTTTCGACCTTGATTTTCAAATGCCTGTATCTCGGCTCATTCGAAACCTTTTTGATTGGAGTAAAGACTGTTAGAATCCACAAACCTCTGCCAATAATAGCTGCGTTGAATCAGCCCGGTAGTGCAGAATACTGGAGCTCTAGAGACGATGAACCCGGCGGAGGTCGTTTCCGCATCATGTTGGTTTTTGAAGCATAACTCTTTGGAGAAGCTATCCAGGTAGTCGAGAAAGTGACAAATTATAGGCAAAAGGTCTACCGAGTAGGATGTTCGCAGGACTAATTCGTAGCCAATCTTGTCCAACTTCTGCAGGGTTGGTTGTGGAATGTGCGTCCGAGCTACCTGTCAGGGACGAGCCGGTTCCTTTATAATGAGGAATTTCGAGCATATGTGCCAGAGTTCTAGGAGTAGTTTGACACATTATCAGGAGTACTTTTTCCACATTAACAGATCCACCTGGTTACGAAAAGCTAGACCAGCCGCTGACCTTATGAAAGTCACCTCAACCTTCCTTCAGTGAAGTTTCACTTTTGCAAAGTTTGTAGAGCCTGATCGCGGTCGATCACTTCACCAAAGGTTCGTATTCTGTAGCAAAGAATCCGTTCTTTGTCGTGCGTCGCAAATGATCAAAAAAGTCAGGTCGTTTTCATGGCATGAAACAAGCTAGAACGCGGCGAACGACCCTTCAAAATGGTGAGCTGTCGCGGCACGCCCTATTTGAATTTTTGGGACTTTCCAGCTCTTCCCGTACAACAAGAAAACACAATGCAAGTGCGATTAGTTTAGGAGGAACCCTCTCAATAGATTTGTGCAAGTAGAAGATTACTTTTAGGAGGAACCCTCTCAATAGATTTGTGCAAACGTGCTTCAACCAGAACGTTCGACTAATCGTTGGCGTTGTCCAATCTCCGATCACCACCCTCACAATCTTTAGGGCTCTCGCTATTCTTACAAAAGCTTTTTGAACAATTGCTTCAGACCATATTTATTGCGAATCTCAGCCAAGTGCGTCTATAATATCTTGACCTGCTTCCTCTCCATACTGGCCTGCTTTGAGCTAGAAAAAGGAAATCATGCAAATTTGCTCTTGGAGTATGCCGTATTCAAGGCTTCAAAAAATGACAACTAAATAATAAGGAACATAGCTAGCCTAGCTGTTAGATAGAACAAGAAAAGCTCTTCAAAACCACATACAGCTCATTGGCAGCTTGCTTGAATTCGTAACAAAATAAAGCGTTCAAAAACGAAACACCGAAAAGCGCAAGAACTTTCTTCACGACCTAATAAAAGTCAATCTTCTTTTTGGAGGTGTAGCTGCCGGGAGCCTAATCGAAAAAATGCTGCAAAAGACCCGCATCAGCGAACCAGTTTAAATGTAAATTGACAAAATAGCGATGGGGAAAACGAACTAGAACAGACAATTCGAGCTTTTTTGACCATATCCAGCCAAAAGATTTTGTACTTTAGACCTATTTAGAATTGTAGAGACATTTCTAGTAGAAATGGAGAGTACAAAAGTGAGCCGATGGGTATGTCAGGGTTTGTGCGCTTGAGTTCAACTTCGCAGAGATGTGTGTGTGGTTGACCTGGCAAAGGTTTGATCCAATGCTTGTACCTCGCACCACACGCGTGGTAAGTGGCCCCAGTTGTCACAACATCAGCACAGAATAAGCCGCGACTATTGTGTTTAGATATACAAGACTTTTAAACCAAATGTCGCTCGATCGAAAAGGAGTACTAAGAGTAAGAGAATGAAGGCAAGTGTGAATACTCAATATGCCAGCCCCTGAGCGAGGGGTCATGGCGAAGAGCGGTGCCGCTCTCATATGTTGTGGCCATATAGCCATCTCGCGATGAATACCTGAACCGGGCGAGGTTTATTTTTTTAGGTTTGCGGAACAGCTGTCCATATATGCACAATTCTCAACGAGTAGGCAAAAAAGAATAAACGAACACTAGACCAATCAATTATGAAAGGTACGAGCGCATTGTAACGACAAAGAGAAAAATGACGATCACCCGCCATTTTTGGCAAAGTAAGCAAGAGGCTCACGGATGCGTTCGCATGCTTACCTACTATGCGGACAGACCGTCAGCAAGTGCTGCTCCGCTGGTTGCAGATTACGGTGAATGATACACTGAACACGTTGAAGAGACGGAGGATAGCAGAACGGCAGCGAGGATCAATTTCGGCTCGAGCTGTGGGAGAAAGACTCATTTTACAGGAAGGGGCGGCCTATAATAGGTAAGCAACCTAGGTAAGTATAGAAAATGCCGTAAGTGAATACCAATCTCAAAGCTACATGCTAGCTCAAAGGCTAGGAGCAGGATTAAATTTATGTGATAATCCGACTCGAATTTGAAAGCAGGGACGCGAAGTGGACTGCCAGTGGAGAAGAAAGGAAAAAAATTATTTAGAACACCAGAAATGAAACCTTCTTGTTCTAGGCTGCGAAGAACTATAAGAAGCACATGACGAAGCTAGACAGCGAGATAGGAGGTAACCTGTGTCGCGGACAGCGAAAAAACGCAAAGTTGAAGGAGCATAGCAGGTCAAGATAACGACTCACATAGGATTGGAACGTTGGGCGGGCACGGTTCCTTCTGGGCATCGGAGGATCCAAATAACCAAGCGCCTGGGGTCTTAGTAATGTGTCTAGAAGCGCGAAAGTGGCGCAATCGCTGCAAAGTTTGACCCGACGTTTCTATCTACTTTCAAACTTTCAGTCAGGTGGAGCCCGACCAGGCCTTTGGAATTTCAGTAGTGCATTAGCCTTTGTCGAAACCTGTTCAAGAAGTGAAAGGGCGACTTTAATCAAGCTTCTGGAGTTTCTTCTGGATTATTCCAAGAAGTTTGCTAATTTTATTGTTTTTAAATTTCCTCTCGGTGGGCGTAGTGTAGTGCTTAGCGGTACCATCTGTTCCGTTCCAGTTCGCAGAATTCCGCCGAGGCCAGCCAACTTTGGGTTAAGCGCTGCAAGCTACTGTACAGACCTGATTGCATCCAATCACTACCACGATTCTGAATAAAAACGAAATGCGTGGTGCACCCAGAAGTGCTGATGAAGGAATACGTCATTATTTTTTTGTAAGTTCAGCTATTTCGTACTGAATGAAAACAGGATTTATCAGCTTCACATGTCAATTATTTTATTTATTCGGTCGCACCATAATGATGAACAGATCAAATTAGTAATAATATCTTTATTGCAGGCTTTATATACGTGTTTGACATCAATTTACCAATCATATATTGATTTCGGTCGATTCGAAATATCTCCATTGGGCAGCAATCGTGGACTGTTCTCTTTGTAGAACTGTGAGTACCACCTAAATCATAGCGAATCATTATTTTGCCCAGGGGCTGTGTTAAAGGCAGGATTCAGGATTAAATTATGAGGTAATTCCACTCAAATGTGAAAGTAGGGGTAGGAAGTGGACCGCCAGTGGAGAAAAAAATCGTGAAATACACAGGAAATACGAGCCTTTTGCTCTACGCTGCGGAGAAGTTCAAAAGGCCGGCAGGGAGATGAGAGATAATGTGAGCGCGGAGAGCGCTAGAGAAGTCGAGTAGAGAGAGCATAGCAGATCAAAGCGACGCAGACAAGATATCGAGCGGTGGGCGGAGCGTGTCGCAACAGGTGGAGCGTGTCAAAGTTCTTAGCGCCTAGCGTCTAAATAACGCTTTTCGAAGTAGGGAAGTGACGCGACCTCTACACTTGCGTACCTAGCGCCCAGCAAAGTCCCGCCACTTTCAAACAGCGTCTACTGCACGTGACACTGTTCGAAAGCAGCCGGCTTCCTTTAAACAATTGGGTCCCGCCACTATTTAGTCGCTGGTACATCGTTCGACTCGCTGGCGCGCAAGTTCGATTCGCTGGTGCAACGTTCGATTCGCTGGCGCAACGCTCGGATCCAGCGATTCGCTAGCGAATCGCTCGATTCGCAAACTATGACATCAGCCATATGCAGAGTGGGCAAAATTACGGTAGCGGGAGCGTGTCGCCAGCAATTCTTATTTTTTGGCTACTACGAATTCTTGATAATAAATACGTGTTTATTTTGATAATTTAGTGTTCCTTCTTGGATTCTGTCACGAAATAAATATATCAGCTCCAAAATTGACAATCCTTCAATTAACTAGAGAAACAATGACTACTCCGTTCCGATGTGCTGTTTGAATGTGTTGTATTATACTACAATGCAGGTCTCTATGAGCCTTTCGTTTGACATCATTACAAAGTTTAGTGGGCTACTGACCAGCACCATTAAGCCCAAACCTATACGGATTGTTTACGAATAATATCTTGAAGATACTGAGATTTCGATGCAAAAAAGTGCTGGAAGCCAGCTCGCTCAGTCCGTCGTTTGGTCGCAACTTCTTCTTCGCGTACTTCTTCAACGTTTATTTGCACTCACTTCACTAGGGAGGTTCACAATGTGATAACGCCTAACATCTGATGCGAGTGAATAGGACGCTAGTGAACACTGTTTCCGTAATGAGCTTCAATAGTGGGATCGCTTAGACCGACGTCATAGTCGGCGACGGACCAAGCGATGGAGCGATCGCGATCGTTTGCAAAGTGCACAAGCGACCATGCCGACAGGGTCAATCCTACGTTGTTACTAGTAACAAGGGGGGTCGTACCTGGTTGAGTTTATAGGAGGGGGGTCGTATCCGCTTCAGTCGCGTGAAAGTACATGTGAGTTTGTGGTGAAAGTGGAGTTTTCACGAGTAGTAGGCTAGGTGAGTTGGGAGCGCATGGGAGAAAAATTCGCCGTTTCAGCGCGCGTATACCCCCCCCCCCTAGAAAATGAAGCAGTGGGATTATAGGTAGAAGTGGGGTAAATTGGTTGAAATTTAGGGAATTTTGGTAAATTTTTACTGTTTCATAGTGGGTATACCCCCCCGCTCGACGGCATTTTTGGAGGAAAAAGTGGGCGGAGTTTGGTGGGTTGAGTGGTACCAGAATTAAATACTATAGAGAGGAATATGGTGGTCGAGGGTCGAAAAGGGGGTCGTACCAAGTCCACCTTGGGGGAGGGGGTCGTAAAAATTTTTGAAAAAGTAACAACGATAGGACTGACCCTGCGAGGATGGCTCTGCTCGATCGATACCGCAGCCGACTGCATCGACTGGGGGCGGGGCCAATCGCCCGTCGCTTGTGCACTTTGCAAGCGATTGCGCAATCGCTTGCCAATCGCTCGACCGAGAGCGATTGGCAAGCGACGGACAAGCGATGGAGCGATCGCGATCGCTCCATCGCTTGGTCCGTCGCCGACTATGACGTCGGTCTTACCAGGATGAGAAGATATTCTGCTGGCTCAAACAAGAAAAATCAACCAGAAACAGTGGGGAAGAAAAAGCCAACAGGCACTTTGTAAAATCGATAACAGCAGCAGAAATCTCAAGATGGAGACACCTCGGACCACTGCTGCTCAAGATAGTAAATTGGATAGTTAGAATCATCCCAGCTCGCTCAGCCTCGATAATGCTTCAGACCGAGAGGGCCTTAAATAGTAAAGAGGGCGTCAAGCAGGACTGGGCGCCCACCCTCGATGCGTAAATTGTTCTAAAACTGATGCAACAGAATATTGTTGACTTCACTGTATCGAAGAAAAGGCAACACAGCTTCCAACTCATGTTCCACGAAATGCTCTATATTGAGTGTGCTGAATGCAAACCACTGTTACAAATAGGAACATCGATTGGTTGAGCAATCGCCTTTAAAGTTGGCCCACCTACACAGCGGGAACGATGGGATTCCACTATGAGGTTTATTTATGCATAACGCACATCAGTTTTTAATGACCGTAATTTCTTTTGAATTTATTTTGTCACCGTAATTTTTTGCACACTCTGCATGTTATGCGAAAAAGAGACAGATCCTGGTGTGTCCCAGAAAGGCCGTGCGCATGAAGAAAAGAGGAATTAAATTTGGAAATAAGCAACCTCCTGTGTTTTTGAATTGGTCCATCATTACGGACGACAAGCGGGTTCTTGATGTACTTCTTGTTCGACCATATCCAGATATCCCGCTCAAACTGGAATGGAAAACATAACATATCACAAATTAATTAGTCTTGACTAGGGATCTTTGTACGAGACCGCAACGCAAGCGCGCGCGAATACCTCTGCAAAACCTACGCTTCGACGTAATCGTAAAAAATGCAAAACAAGCTTCGAAAACTTTTCTAAGTTACCTGAGTAGCTTCACTGATAAGAAAGAATTTGGCGAACCATCGCGGAATAGTGGAGTACAGCTTAAACCGTACAAGCTGTTGTAGTGGTTCCTGTGGCGTCACATGTTGAACCACAACTCCACGGCCAAGAGCTCCAAAGTCGAACAGCATGTGCACAATTCCTGGACCAAGCTGAGGAAATCAATATTAGCTGTAATCGTAAAATTCTAATCAACTGAATCGATACATTAGTTGTGAGTCCATATCAGCCCAAGAACTGAATGCACTTAAGGATGCCTATCGAAGTTGCGCGATCGATAATAGTCGATAACGCCGATGACTTGCGTCCATGCTCAAAACACAAGTTTGAAATATCTGCGGTGCTAACTTAGTTGGGGGGGGGGACCACGCGGCGGCGCGGCGCTCTGTTCGTCTGCTCCTCCAAGGCTTAGTCCAGGGGCAGTTACTATTTCGCCATCACGTGGCAGTTTCGAAATACGCGCCATCGGGGACTAAGCCTTTGGAGGAACAGACGAACAAAGCGCCGCGCCGCCGCGTGGTCCCCCCAACTAAGTTAGCACCATATCTTCTTCTTGAAATCGTAGTCAACTGCTTGAATACTACCAAATATCAGGAGATTGCAAAGTCACCGCACACATTCGATTCTTCTATGGCAGATGTCAGACTTTGCTACCAGTCGCTAGCAAATTGCAGTGTTACAATGGGATGCGCCAGCGGTGCAAGCAATGGGCCAGCGACTCTAGCGATTCGAGCGGGCACCAACGACCAATGGCTGGTATCTCGTTCGATCTCTTCGAATCGTAAGCGAATCACCGATGCTAGCAAAGTTTGACACCTGCCCATGTCGCGGCCCCTTGCGACTATGAAACCGCGTTCATACTCCACGACTTGCGAGGTTGGGAGATTAAGCAATGACAAAAAGAAATTTATTCATAACAGATTAGTAGATTAAGCTAATTGGAAGTTAGTCCACTTTCATACTCCTCGACTTGAATTAGAAGATTAGACGTCCACATCCAGATCAATCAATTCGCATCCAATGTTTTTAGCGAAATATTCTAATCCCCCAATCTCCTAATTCACTATTCTCTTTATCTCTTCTAGAAGGTAATTTTACATGAAAGTACTACCAACCTGTTCAGCTCTCAGTTTACTGCTTGTTAAAGGCAGTCTGTAACCAGCAAAAGTCATGTATTGGTCGAGATGCATCACTGCAAGATGCGTGTCATCACCTCCTTGCGGAGCCCATTTGCCGTCCCACACATGTCGAATCAGCGGACTGGTGTTATCGAGATCAATATTGAATAGATTGCTTCCTGCAAAAGTTAGCAATAATACGGACAAGGACGATTTCTCAGCACGTCAGATGTGTTCTATCGTTCCATGTTAGCATTGTCAGACTTTGCGAATAGAGTGATTCGCAAAGGCTGACATTGACCTTTCACCACCGCGGCTGGCTTGCGCGGCACGTGGCCTAACCAGCCCTACTCCCTACAAAAAAGCGATATGCCTAGCTGATGCGATAAGTTTGTCTGCCACGAAATTGTGCATTACCTAAAGAATAACATGAAGAGGCCGGGTCAAAATATGGGACGGGACGAATGGGCACACTTGAGCAATGCCGCGAAATCCAGCCCACTGTGGGTGTGCCGCGCATCCAAATGGGCGGTGCTGAAGACGCAAAGTTCCATTTTGTTCTCAGAACCGTTCAAAGAACGGAAAAATATTATAGGCTAAGCAGCAGGTTGGTATACGAGGTGGAGGGGACTTGGACGGCGTTTTATAAATGGGCGGTGCTTATGAATCAGCTATGAAATTATCTGACGACCATAAAATTTTGTTAGGGATAACAATGCATAGGTTGCGCTACGCATGCCTTAGATGATCGGAAGCCCGTCCACAATGGGCAAAGCGTGTTGTTAAGCCACGTGTCGCGATTAGATCCTTAGAGCGATCCCTTTCATGAGTGTGATGGCAGATCTCCAAGCACAGCAGTCGTGGCATTGCCGCAACTCATACTGTGCGACAAGGACGAAGGGCTTTGCATTAACCGCTGCAACCGCTTCCACTTTAACCCCTGTGCAGTGATCGTGGTGTTTGTGCCCCTCGTACAAAATGCTTTACATGTATTCCCTCTTCTCCGAGCACTGTGTCTATAAACCGAACCACGGATGACCCCATAAAAGAATGCGCTTAATTTAAGTATTTTCTATGGTTACTTTGCCTCTACTTCACTAACGGTCCTCTTCGCACCTCTAAATCCATATTCGAACGCAGAAGGCAACAGCTCGATCACCGAACGAGCGAGCGAAAATAGGACTTTTCACAAACCCTTGTAGTCCAGCTTCAGACTACCGGAAGAAGTGGGAAGGGGAGTGGGCTCGCAAATCAGTAGAGGTCGAAGCTAGTGAAGGAAGCGGTTGACAGCATCCGAAACAAAACCTTATGTTTCGGTTCCTAGAAAGCCTCAATACTGGAAAAAAAGGATAGAAGCTGGCTAGGGACGGGAATCTGATGCCTTTGTGGGCGATGCGGGCAGAGCTGAAGTTCTAAATTCGCAAGGTATTAGGTCGTGAAGAAAGTTCTTGCGCTTTTCGGTGTTTCGTTTTTGAACGCTTTATTTTGTTACGAATTCAAGCAAGCTGCCAATGAGCTGTATGTGGTTTTCTTGTTCTATCTAACAGCTAGGCTAGCTATGTTCCTTATTATTTAGTTGTCATTTTTTGAAGCCTTGAATACGGCATACTCCAAGAGCAAATTTGCATGATTTCCTTTTTCTAGCTCAAAGCAGGCCAGTATGGAGAGGAAGCAGGTCAAGATATTATAGATGCACTTGGCTGAGATTCGCAATAAATATGGTCTGAAGCAATTGTTCAAAAAGCTTTTGTAAGAATAGCGAGAGCCCTAAAGATTGTGAGGGTGGTGATCGGAGATTGGACAACGCCAACGATTAGTCGAACGTTCTGGTTGAAGCACGTTTGCACAAATCTATTGAGAGGGTTCCTGCTACACTGATCGCGCTTGTACTGTTTTTCTTGTTGCACGGGAAGAGCTGG